CGTTAAGAATTTCTAGAAAAATAAGAATATCGTTATAAAATATGTTTATCCACCGCTAAGGAGTTATGGCTGAAATTTTCTAAATTTCCACGTAAAACGACAATCCCTCCCGAGAATCCTCACTGACCTATAACGCATTTCCAGAAGTCTTGAAGCTATAAAAACTTATACAACTGTTTGGTAGAAATCCAATCTCACCTCATATTTGAAAGCCGGCCATGACGAAAAGGAAGATGTYACTTGAAAAACTTGGTCACTAACAAAAACAATGGAAATTGTTCGCTGTTTTTAGTTTTATTATATTATCATTATCCAGGGTATTTGGAGTTAGAATAGAGWTGGCAGTTGTCCCTGAAGGTTGAATAAATAGAATGGAATATAATAAATCGGAAAAGCTGGAATACATTGCAAGAGGAAAGATCATGTAGACGAACCTCGCTCACAAGTCTTTTCTCCCTTGGTTTTACCTTAGACCCTCAAATAGAAGGACAAGGTCGTGGTAGKGAGGTTATAAAAGATGGCAAGACAGTGGTACAGACCTGCTTTAATCAATATTCACATAGAATACTTACGAACAAAGAGGCTGACATGCAGAGCAGTCAAGCTGATTGTTTCTTGCTTTCTTTGCTACTTTTCTAAGGCACGCCACTAATAGAAAGAAACCAATTTAATTGTATGTTCAATCACAGGAAAAGTTAAACAATTTATAAAGTAATTGTAATTTATTCAATTTACGCCCAAAATGTACTTTTATAAACTCTGTAAATTGATTTTACAAGATGATTTAAAATGTTTGATGCAGCAAAATTTACAAAATATATTTACAGACTGTACATAAGATTTAAAATCTTTGTAGAAGGACATTGTGTCTGTATATTGAATTTACAGTATATTTACGTATGATTTTAAAAATACAACTAGAGAAACAAGGCGTAGACCGTGGAACTGGATGCATATGTTTTAAAAAAGGGCGGGAGGAATGAATACAGCACTGTTTTAGGAGTGACACCAGTCGGGCATAGGTTGAGAGGAAGACCAAAGAGGAAGTCGGCAGTAGAGATCGAAAGGAAACAATCTGTCTGTCCCACATTGAACTATGAAGTAAAGATCGCGGCAAGATAGAAGGAGTTAGAAAGATAATGTAAGGCTAAGTAGATTCCCTTGTGCGTCTTCTTGTGTACAGAGAAATGACGATGATGATGATGATGATGATAATGATGATGATGATAATGAATACTAGATATTTACCTACTGTTTTATTCAGAGTATCGCAGTAATCATATCCCTTGTCACCTGGATATCTATACTCCAAGCAGTTACAATCGCTCATCTGCTTTCGAGCTATGCACGACTGTTCACAAGCCTTTAGAAATAATACACTTTTATTATATTGACTCTTAGCCCTCTTAGTCAGAAACAATTATTTTATATTTAAGGCATTTTCACGTCAAAAACTGTTAGATTTTGTAACGGTTATACGATCCTATGGAAGGGGAGACGTATTAGTCCCTATATAGTTCTATGTGCCATAAATGTTATTTGAATTGAGGGGAACCAACCGGCCACCTACGTTGAAATGATAGACATTACCTATCAATTAAGGTAATGGCACAGAGAACTGTAAATTAATGGTTTACAAAGTACAGTGTACTTTGATTGAGTTTTTGTATGGCAAATTGATGAGACGACGCCCTGGTAGTTAATTACAGAACATGTCCACAGTCGAGGATACATAAATTTTGAAAGGAGGTAACATTCCCATTGGATCCGACCCTTGGAAAAGTAACTGCGTTTGAAGATATTAGACATTCAAACGGAATCAATATCTAA